TTCTATTCTATTCTATTCTATTCTATTCTATTCTATTCTATTCTATTCTATTCTAATTCTATTCTATTCTATTCTATTCTATTCTATTCCATATTCTATTCTATATTATGTTCTGTTAAAGGGAAGAAGACAGCCAGCCAGAACTGTTCTGGAGCAAAACTGGCCCGGAGAAACTTACACGCCTTCCTCACCAATAGGATCTCCTTGGTCATTTGACTCATCTGCTGAAACGGATCTTTTTCCATCCATCAAATCGGAACAGCCTGACCACAGCACGGCTCCAAGATGATTTAATTGACCGTGATTACTGTTTGGATTCTCGTAACTAAGCAAACCTCCATAAACAGATTTGGAGCCCTGCTTACTGTCCTTCAAAGCCAATTGTGGGTGGGTGGGTGGATGTGTGCAAGGGGTCTACAGTGGCCAGTAATTCTGGTTCTAATCCGCTTTCGTGATTGTGAGGGTGAAATCCACGTTTTTGTGATCAGAAGTTAAGTGTTATTCATCACCAGTCAACCCATCTGGAATTGTTCAGAAATTTGGACCTACTTCTAGATTCTCAAGACTTAAAAACAAAGAAACTTGGTAACCAGTCCCCAGAAGCTGAGAATCCATTATTTTTCCTCAGAATTGAACAGATTTTAATTAAAACCTAAGAAGCTAAAAACAATACCGAAGAACACAATTCACCTCGTGGTAAAGTAACTCAAAGCATTTAACTGTATTGAATAGGTTGTGTGTCTGTTCAGGATGGCTGACTGGCAAATATTTGGGAATGCGGATAAGAAATACCTTTTAAATTTCAGATTAATGTCTTGACAGGTTCTTTAAAGTTCAGTATTAATCTTGTCGGCCTTCAGAAACAGAAATGGCTGCCTCAGAGGACCCTAAAATGCCTTGTTCTCAATCTGATTAATATACAGTATATATGCAGCATCAGAAACCCAATTGGGCTTTTCGTAGGGTTAAATTCAACCTTTCGATATCAAAGCCATGCCGGAGTCATCTTTAAAATATGCATTTATAGAATCTTACTCTATAAAGGTTCAGAGTAACCTTAACCCTAACCATACGACAATATACCGTATGGAATATTTTGAATTTCAGAAATGCTTTTTAATAATCCAAGGAGAGAAAACTTGCGGTAAATGTGTGGTGTGCGTGCTTTTTGTAAAAAAAAAAAAAAAGTTTTAGCAATGGTGGCTGGAAGGAACAATCAATCCAAAGACATTTCTGAAGGGTTTTTTTTAAAAAAATGAGGTGAGTGTAGATGTTTTAGCCACCCAGGATGAAATACTTTTGCTCCAGGTTCTGTGCAACTTTAATCAAGTAGCCACCGCTGTGTTCTAATTCAGGGGTCTCCAACCTTGGCCACTTTAAGACTTGTGGACTTCAACTCCCAGAATTCCTCAGCCAGCTTTGTTAGGGTCCAAGGCAAAGTCCTAGAGAAGCCCTGTAAACAGGGGTCTCCAACCTTGGCCACTTTAAGACTTGTGGACTTCAACTCCCAGAATTCCTCAGCCAGCTTTGAGTTGAAGTCCACAAGTCTTAAAAGTGGCCAAGGTTGGAGACCCCCGTTCTAGTTCACTGGGGAAACTGTTGCTGTTTTCGCTGACCTTGTTTCTTCCAGATATGCTGGGTGTGCACTTATATTGTCTCTGGAAGTTATGAGCATCCTAGCCCCTTGGATAATTTTAGGGTAGCTGGGTCCTTTATGGTGAAAACTTAATTTCGGGGCTCAGAGAATTCACTTTCTTAAAGGTTCTCTTCTAGAAACACTACGTTTCTACAAGTTTGAGTGGGCCTCCTTATGTTGAAGGATCTGGTCACCCAACCCAATTATAATTGGATAGTGTGGCTCTCCCAGATCAATCACACAGACCTATTCTGCTTTTGGTAACTTATTCACTGCTGGAAGGACAGATTAAAGAGAGTCCATGTGAGTTTGCAAATGAACAGTAAAGGAAGTTTTAAGAGATAGTTTTAAATGCATAGAGATATATTTTCTTACTCCCTATATTAGCCACTTTGCACAAGTCAGAGTTTATTTCTTGAGAGTTCCTTTTTGTATTCAGTTCTGTGTGATAAGTCTACTCTACAGGGTAAATCATTTCCCTGCCCATAAATCTTGCCATTGTTGGCAGAAATGGAGGTATGATCAGTATGTTCATAGTTTCACAAACAAGAGATGTTTCTTTAGAAAAAATGTCTCTCGATTTCTACATTCAGTGAAGAGGGGAGGCGTTTCTCCAGAGATTGCAAACCTCGCTTCGTACAGCCAGGGATACCAAGCCACCAAAATGTCCATGAAATATACTTCAGCAAAATTCTCAGAAGCAGTTTCAATAACTGTTTAAAGTTTCAACTGAACTTTTTGCCATACAGATAGAAGTGGGAATGCTTGTAAGAGGATATGTGAGCCAGATAATCATGTGAAATCTTGTGAAATTAAAAATCCCACCCAAAGGTTGCTAAACCATAGTGTACATTGGTTGTTGCTAAGATAGGGCTTCCCAAACTTGGGTAAATAACCCAAACTGGGTAAAAGCAAGGTTTTGTCTTTTTTTTGGCTAACAACACATAAACCAAACAGGGACTTTTAAATAAGGATTTTCTGATAAGTTTGGGGTAATGAAGAGAAAAGTTTGTGAAGCTCTGGCTTAGGATATCCAAGCCCACCCATTGTGGCTTATTCAACAAAACATAGTTTAGCTGTATATGTGAACTCACCCAGACTCTATTCAGGTATAAACAGGAAAAAAAGAATCTTCTCAAACTGATGTTTGGTATGAAATTGATGTTTCAAATTAGATGTTGAAATGCCTAGAAACTGCCATAAAATAAAATATACGTTAAGTGCATTTAATTTTCCCCGGTCTGCACCCATAGACCTGCTAAAAATGTACCTTGTGCCTTGTTAAAAGGTTGCCTAGTAGAAATTGGGAAATGGTGCAGGAAGGGCACTCAATTCTAGCTTCCTGGGCTCATTAGTTGGGGAAACGGGTGCCAACAGCAGGTAAGCTATTTCTCAGGTGCGAGTCTTACCCCTTTCAGGTCTTGAGTGGGACCCGCTAGTATCGGGCTGCATTCGTAACTCCAAGCCATACCATGGTTTGCCTCAACTTAAGTGGATGCATTCTGCAAACCTAGCCAATCATAGTTTAGTCAACAAAATGTGACTAAGCAAGGCATAACGGAGAAGTAGGCGAACCCAATCTTCTTGTGCAGATTTAAAGCCAGCTAAAAACTTTTTGTCCGACCCGCTTCTTGCTACCTGAAATGGAAATTTGCGAAACAAGCCATACAGCATGAAACTCACACAAGTGCCAAAATCTTGAAAAGTCCTCATTGGGATAATCTGGAGCTGCGCTGGTGACTTCACAAATTTGGCTCCTGAGCGGTGCAGGCATTATTTTTTAAAAGGAATCTGGAAGCATTACGTACCGGACAGAAACATTTTGGTCTACTGATCGGACGTCTGTACGAAGAGCACAAGGAACGCCTGGGGCAATATTGTGCAAAGTAGAGAGGATTGTTCAGATAACGAGGTTCAAGCCTCCCTGTCCCCCTCCCCCCTTTCAGGTTTACATTGATTGAAACTCCACAAAATCTGGGGGACCCTGGAGCCCCTATATTGCTCCGGAGAAGAAGACGTTCTGGGCTTTCGTTGACGGTTGGAAGCAACTTCCTTTGACTTTAAAAAGCCCCTCTTGGTTGCTCTTCTCCTAAATACGATTATTTCCTGTTGTCCCTCGGAAGGGATGACCAACGCTTGGGCCCTGGGGGTGGTGTGACATCCCATGTGCTACACTGAAAGCGTTGGATGACCACCACTCCAATTCTTCTTTGCAGCGGGTGAAGTTCGTAAGATTTGGAGGTGCTGATCTTCTAGCAGGGCCTTCAGTGGCTCCCTACAGCTTGTCTTTGGGGCTGGGCCCCCTGCTCAGTCGGAGGCTTTCCCCCCCACACGCTGTTAAGTGATGCAGTGAGCGCATGCATCTGCGTGCCAAACCGTGCGGCTTCTGAACTTCTCATTCGCTCAGGAGCTTAAGATGCAGCATCGGCCCCATGACTGAAATCTCTCGGCTATGGCCTCTCTCTTCAATGGACTCTTGGATGAGCTGACCTGGACTCTTTCACCTTACACAGCTGCTGGCCGGCATGTCCAGATAGCCAGGACGGACTTGGATTTTACCGACTTTGATAAAAACTCCCTCCACCCCACCCCACCTTGTATGATAATGAGCCAAATTGCGATGTGCATTGTTTTTATATTTGAGCTTTCTACAAGAACCCGCATCCTCACTTGACAAAAAAGGACTGAAAGTGAGTGGTTTTTAGGAGAAGAGAGGCTGCTGGGAGCTTTCTGGCAAAGGGACACAAAGGGTAAAAAAAATTCAAGGGTGATCCTGCAAGAGGTGGAAGGACTGTTGAAAGCTGCGTTGAGGTCAATTCCTAGATGACCTCTTTGCCAGGGCTAGTGGGGACAGGACTGGGCAGGAGGCTGGCGGTGTCCCAGAGGGGCAAGGGTGGTAAGGCTTCTAAAATTGAGCTTCTAAATCGGGTCCCCAAGTTTGGCCACTTTAAGACTGGTGGACTTCAACTCCCAGAATTCTCCAGCCAGCACAGGAGTTGAAGTCCACCAGTCTTAAAGTGGTCAAGTTTGGAGACCTCTGTTCTAAATCCTCAAGAGGCTGGCAGAACCAGAGTTTAAATTTTCCTAGGATAGGGTGAGAAATGATTAGCCCCTCCAGTAGAAAGGTGTGGCTAAAATGTTTTAACATGGTTTTAGGAATATATTTATTTATGCAACTAATGTAGTAGCCAGGTTCACTCAAGATACTTCTCAACTTCAAGAGAGTTGGGAAAAGATTTCACAGAGGTATATCATCCGATGTCCATTCAGACAAGAGCCAAGAGGTCGGTCCAACCATTTTTCCCTAAGTAGCAAAGCACTTAATTTCTATTGGACTGGGCTTGCCCCTGTCGACCTGCCTTGGATGACTTGACACTCTTGGGGCACAAGTCTTTCACACATGGGACACTCCTTCTATGCTGAGTGGACAATGCAGGTGTGATCAAGGTGCTTTTTAAAAAGGCAACTGGACTTCCCTCCCCCCCAACCCAGTGGAAGAAGGTATTTCAAGAAGCTTCATCAGTTCTGGCAGGATGGTGGGGGCAGGTCAGGGGTGTGATTCAACCGGTGCAACAACTGGTTCGGTGAATGCGTGTACGTGCACCAAATGCGTGCTTTGCGCACGCACAGAGCATTTGCTACCTTCTGCAGCGATCTGCATGTTAAACAGCTGACGCGCAGCAATCTGCTGTGCCACGCAAATCAGCTGAGCTTGAAAAACAGGATATAAAGCATAGACTAGGCCCAACAGCTGATCGTTGGAGCCAACCGGTTCGCTCACAGCTGATCCTCAGAGCTACCGGTTCGCCTGAACCAGGGTGAACCGGTAGAATCCCATCCCTGGGGCAATGGAAGGCGGGAAAGAACATTCCAGATGCCTTTTGAAGAAGAAACAAAGCACCTTTGAGACAATTAGGACCTCGATGCCTGAGAATCTCCACAGGCACACAGGTGTGGGGCGAACCTCATAGAGGGGCCCATGGCAGCTGTAGGGCCAGCTTTCCTTTTTCCAAAGTCACCCCCCCCCCCATCACGCCATCCCAGACAGATTGACAAGAGGGCAGGATTCTTGGTTAGCTGGGTTGAGGCTGTGGGCCACAGAGGCTGAGCAGTGGGAAATGGCAATTCCCGAGCACAGAAGTCATAGAAAGCTGCTCTACACATCTGCCTGCTTATCTAACATCAGGATGCAGGAAAAGTCCTTGTGGCTCAAGACAGGCTGAGGTTGAGACGGGCTTCTAGCAGTGGAACCGATAGTAAGTGGCCCTTCCTCTTTCTGCTCTCCTCCCGTTAGTAGCCTTTGATACAAGGTGGTTGACATCATCAAAGCAGAGAGCGGTCTCCTTCTCATCTTAGATGGAAGTAGAGTTCAGCTCTTGGATTTCTTGAGAAATAATGGGCCCTTATGGTATGTTCTTCACCCAATGTTTTGTACTTTTGGCTGTAAATTGCTTGTTGTCCTTCGGCCTTTAGCTTATGTCTTATTAAAAGCTTTGTAACACCCACATTCTGTTATTTCTTGACGTGAAATTTCAAGTCCTGGGATGTCTCCCGCTCCCCCCTACGTTCTTAAGAATCCCTCTCCCCTGTTTTTAGAAGTCGGGTGAATGGGAATGTCCTTTTAGATTCAGCAGCGGTCCCCAAACTTGGCAACTTTAAGACTTGTGGACTTCAACTCTCAGAATTCTCCAGCCGGTAATTCTGGGAGTTGAAGTCCACGAGTCTTAAAAGCTGCTCCGTTTGGAGACCTCTGGATTTAGTAAGAAGGTGCTTTCCTGTTTCCTAGCTTGATCCCACGGCTCTTATAAGGCAGACCTGTCTCCACCTTTTGTGGCTGGTCCCTTCCCCCCAAAAACCCTCCTGTCCCAAACTCGGCAGCCCCTCTCAAGTCCTTGTTCCGGTCTGCCGAGGCCCTGTCGCTGCACCCTCCAGGCCCTTCCGGGATGGACTGACCAGACAGCACCTGTGTTTTGAGCAGACTTTATTTATCCTAACACAACACCAAACAAACAAAAGGTTTCCCCAGCCCCACCCCGTGGCTGGACCACTGAACTGCCGCCTTCCCAACAGGGCCATTTCCAAGTTCTGACAGTAGCAGCAGCAGCTGGTCTCCCACCCAGCCAGTGATCAAATGGCTGTGGATGATGGGAGCCGCGTCCCGTAATGGCTCACGAGCCCTTGGGGTGGAGCAGCTGGGTAGCCACATCTCCCAGCCGAAGAGGGGTGAAGAACTGCACAGAACGATGGGATCCCAAGAGGCTGCCGTGGTGACGTTAACAGTGGAAGTAACTAGACCTGTGAGGGTGCTACAGGTGGCACACAGAGCCATTTGTGCGGGCATGTGAGCCCCAGCCAAACTTACCTGCACTGCGCATGCACACACCTCCCAGCTGATTTTCGGCCTGCTTGAGGCCGTTTTCACCCTCCCAGGAACTTGAGGGAAGCCCCGGAAGCCTCAGGAGGCTGAAACACGGGCCTTCCAGAAATACTGGAAGTGCCAAAACGGCCCTGTTTTTCGGCCTCCAAAGGCTGCCCTCAAGCCCCCGGGAGGGCAAAAATGGCCTCAAGCTGGCCGAAAATGACCCGGGAGGCGTGCACATGTACAGTGCAGGTGAAGGGGGAGCGAGGATGTTGTGCACGCATGCATGGTGGGTGCCGGCATGGGCTCTCCGCACACCACAACAAAAAAGGTTCACCATCACTAAACTAGACTCTAAAGCAGAGGTCTCCATACTTAGCAACTTGAAGACTTGTCTTAAAGTTGCCAAGTTTGAGGGCCCTTGCTGTAAAGTGCTTTATCTGCCTGGGGGGTGCTGCTTCAGGCCCGGAGGGGGTCTCCTTCTGCATAAGGCAGCAAGTTCCCAAAACCTTTCCGGCTCGGTGGCCCGGAGGGAAGGAGGAGAGGGGATGGTTCCCCACGAGTGGCAGGCCTGCGCATGAGCACGCGCACCTCCATTTGTGCCAGCGGCATAGACAAACGGCACTTGGACGAGGAGTGTGAGCGCCCACCACTCGCAAGCGGGGCTGTGCGTGCGCGCTCGCCTGCCGCTTGCATGGCCCGGGATGTTGGAGATTCCTGGCATAAGGAATCTAGTTCGAATCCTAACCCCCCCTGGGGTTGCAGACAGATGGGCTTCCCTCCCTTTGTTGTTTCCAAAGGCAGAGATGCGACAGCCTCCTCCAAGTAAGGAGAGTTGCACACCGCCTGAGTTGCCGCTTACGGGCCCCGTGGGGAAAAGGAGACCACGTTCAGATTTCTCTCCTGGCGCTGGTTCAGACTCTGCTTCCAGGCAGGGTAGACGGCATGCAAGCTCTGTCTCCTCTTGGCCGGCCAGCGTTTAAGAGAAACACCCAGAATGTAATGTCCAAATGAGCCAAGAGAAGTTGAGCCTCTCTCGACGGGTTCTCCTCTTTTAAGAGTCTAGGGCAGAGGTCTCCAACCTTGGCCACTTTTAAGACTTGTGGACTTCAACTCCCAGAATTCCTCAGCCAGCAGAAGAGAGTTGGGCTGGAGAATCCTGGGAGTTGAAGTCCACAAGTCTTCAAGTGGCCCAGTTTGGGGATCCCTGGGTTAGTCCCTTAGGAAATGAGGAGAGTGGTGCTTGATAGATCCAGGGGAGAGAGGCGTTTGGTTAGGGGAATCATGCGAGCTGCCCCCCCCCCTTTTAGACGAAAATGGGCTCTTCATAATAAGACAGAGAAGATTTTGCCTTTCCTGCGTTACGAAATGGTTCGCCACTTGCATTGCTGCCCGTGTGTACTGTGCTCCTCCTCCGGCTGACCCAGGAAGGCATCACGCGGGGATGCTAACAAGGTGTCGGAGCTGCCAATCTGCCATGAACTATGGAGGGAGGGAGCCAGACAGGTGGGGGAAAGCGAGGAGGAGCTCAGCACACACGGGCAGCGATGCAAGCGGCGAACCATTTTGTAATGCAGAAAAAAGAAACCCTTTTCCGTCTTATTATGACGAGCCCATTTTCGTCTAAAAGGGAGGGGGCAGCTCGCATGATTCCCCTAACCAAACGCCTCTCTCCCCTGGATCTATCAGGCACCGCTCTCCTCCTCATTTCCCAAGGGGGCTAACCCAGGGGTCCCCCCCCCCAAACTGGGCCATTTGAAGACTTGTGGACTTCAACTCCCAGAATTCTCCAGGCAGCTCTGCTCCGCCGGCTGAGGAATTCTGGGAGTTCAAGTCTACAAGTGGCCAAATTTGGAGCACTCTGCCCTAGGGACATCAGGACCCTGAAACTAACAGATAACTTCCTACCAACATTCCCCTTCAGATTTCAGTCGTTTTTTGATTTTTTTATATATGAAGACAATAGAGCCCACAAAGCAGCCACTGCCAAGATACCGTCGCAGGTTCTCCTTTAGTGGGGAACGGGTTCCGTTCGCTCGAAGGTCCGCGTTCTGCAGGGAGACCATGGAGGCAGCTGACGTTCCGGTGCGGAAGAACAAGAACGAACTAGGTCTCAAGAGACAACCCTCCCCGCCCCCCCCCAAAGTCTCTGCCAGGGCTGCAGAGAAAACGAGGCCTTGTCAACACCAGGGCGGCAGCAGAGCTGGAGTCCCGTTCCAGTTCTGCAAACCCCCGTCCCTTAGTTGTCCTCGTCGGAAGACAAGCCTTCGATCTCATCCTGGTCTCCTCTGATGGCCATCCAGAAGGCTTTGGCAACCTAGGAGTCAAAGCAAACAGGCTAGAACTCCTGGAGGCTTACACACACCCCATACACACACACACACCTATGGGAGATCAAACACCCTAAAAAGGGTGTCAAACTCAAGGCCCACGGGCCCGGATGCTGCCCGGAGGGTGCTTAGATCTGGAAACAGCCAAGGACCGGCTCGCGGTATCTCTGCCGATGTAAACGGAGCTCGGGAAGGCTGCGCGCAGCAATCCCAAGCTCCGTTTTCAGCCAGGATGGGCTCCTGCAGCCCCTCTGCCAGGAAAAATGGAGCTCAGGACAGGCTGTGGGGGTCCCAGGGGGCCATACATGCCCCCCCAACTCCATTTTTGCGGGCAGAGGGCCAGGCCATGTCCCTCCCTCCCTCCCTCCCCCCCCGGCCTCCCTTGAGGTCAAAACGCAACCCTGATGCAGACCTCCATGAAAACAAGTTGGAGACCCCTGCCCTAAAAGCTCCCAAGTAGACCTCTCAACTTAAGCCAGGAGGGCATCCGTAGACACTTGGCTCCTATCCTGGGATCTGCAACTTGGGAGAAACAACCCCCAAAACTAAAAAATAAAATAAAATAAAGCATATTGGATCGGATGTTTGCTGTGATTACAGAGATTTTGACCCAACGGAGAGAACCGAGCATGAAAAATATTGATTTTGGTTGGGGAGAGAAGCTCGTAAGGGAAGAGGCGACTCCGTGAGATGCTAGGGTGCTAGTAAGCAGCATCTGGCTGGGTTTGGGCTCAGAAAAACCATTTTTAATCCAGGGGTGGGATTCAAATTTTTTTACTACCAGTTCCATGGGCGTGGCTTGGTGGGCGTGGCAGGGGAAGGTGACTGCAAAATCTCCATTCCCTCCCCACCCCACTAGCCTGCTTTCCAGCTCCGTTCTCCCGTGCAGGGCAACCCAAGGAGACCCAGATGATCAGCTGGGACTCAATGGGAGGCAGAGAAGAGATATGGGGTTGGCGGGGCCGGTCAGAGGCGGCATTGGCCGGTTCTCCGAACCACTTAAAATTTCCGCTACCGGTTCTCCAGAACCGGTCAGAACCGGCTGAATATCCACCTCTGTTCTAATCCCAAATCTTACCTTTTCGGCATGCAGCTTTCGTTGTTCGTGAGGCAGGATGGCGGCCTTTTCTGGAAAACGAAAGGGAAAGAAAAATCTAGAGCAAAGGAAGACGAAAAAGAAAAAGCTATTTGCAAAGATGAAAACGCAAAATTAAAAAAAAGGACAGACAGGATCTTGGCCGTGTGTTTCTGCCCTGAAAGAAGCCAGAAACAGCCGGAGGGCCGGCAGGATCCGACGGGTGCAACTTCAGCTACTCCTGTGCCCCCCCCCCCTCCAATCACACATTCTAGAAAGTTCCTTCTCGACGCAGTTTTTCAACCCGTGCAAAGACACACCCCCACCCCACCCCGCCAAGGCTGCAGTGGAGGGGAAGTAAATGGTAGTGCCGAAACTCAACCAATTTCTGACTCCAGCGGATAAATTGGGGAGGCAGAAAAAACGGTTGTGTCGCATGCCCAAAGAACATCAGTTGCCTGAATTAGGTGAGGACGGATTCCCAACTTCCTGTTTTCCTTTCTTGTCTCCCGTCATGGCAGAGCAAACTGGAGGCCGGCCTGCACGGCACAGCAGGCCTCCAGGACAGGGGTGGGCTTCAAAAAATTTAGCATGTTTTCAATCGTTTTCTATCTTTTTCTTTCTATTCTTTTTTTTCTTCTTGTGTTCTTTTTATCTCTTGCATTTATGTGTGTGTTGTTGGTCTGTTTTAATTGTAAAATCAATAAAGTATATTTTTTTAAAAAGAAATATTTAGCAATGGGTTCCCTGCCCGGTTGCTGGGTGGATGTGGCCATGGTGGGCGTGGCCTAGTCGGCCTCCGGCACCACAGCCGGATGGAGGGGGAGTATTTTCACCTTCCCCAGACTCCGGAGGCTTTCCTCGGGCCTTCGGGAGGGTGAAAACGTCCCCCACAGGTTCCGGAGGCTCTCTGGAAGCCAGAAACAGGCCGATTTCTGGCCTTCCCAAACTACCAGGAGGCCCCCTGTTTTGCCCACCCTGGGCCTCCCCGCGGGCCCTACGCTTCTGGGAGGGGCAGGGCAGGGTGGGCGGAGCCAACCAGGCGTGAGATTTGCAAATCCCCAGCAGCCCGCTCCTGCCTCCAGAGGAGGGGTCTCCAACCTTGGCCGTTTTAAGGCTTTTTTGGATTTCCAAAGCTGGCTGAGGAATTCGGGGCGTTGGAAGTCTGCAAGTCTTCAAGGGGCCAAGGTTGGAGACCCCTGCTCCAGAGCATAGGGCTGGGCTGCTGCTTTCCTCCTGCTTCCTAGATTCTGCGGCTCGGAAACGGCATTTCGCGGCATCCGTTTTGTCTCCCCCACTCCCCAGCCCCTCCCTCCATTCCTTTGTGGGTCTGGGTCAGACTGAGGGGAGCTACCTGGCTGTTCCACTCCGAAAGCCAGCCCTGGCAAATTTGCAAGAAAACCGAGTTGTTTTCTGAGTTTGGGGAAATAAGCCAGAGGTGGGATTCAGCCGGTTCTGACCGGTTCTCGAGAACTGGTAGCAGAAATTTTAAGTGGCTCGGAGAACCGGCCAATCCCACCTCTGACTGGCCCTACCAACCCCATCTATTCTCTGCCTCCCATGGAGTCCCAGCTGGTCTCCTTTGGTTGCCCTGCCCAGGAGAATGGAGCTGGAAAGCAGGTTAGTGGGGTGGGGTGAAAATGGGGATTTTGCAGTATCCTTCCCCTGCCATGCCCACCAAGCCACGCCCACAGAAATGGTAGTAAACATTTTTGAATCCCACCACTGAAATAAGCGGAAGGTTACCTTTCATTTCCTTCAACTTGGAGAAGAGTCGCTCAAAGTTCTCGATGTCTCCTTCTCCCACGGTGAGGCTGGCGAGCTCTTGAATGTCCGTGTCCAGCACTGGATCTGCAGAGAAGCCCAAAAGAGAGGCAGCTCTCACTGAGGAGGGGACCACTCACCGCAGCCGACTCATCGCACCCATTTCTTCGGGATTAGTGTGATGCTCGTCCCGCAGCGAGTTGTCCAGTGATGAGATGGTCGTGGCGAATGGTCCGGAAGCGAATTAGTTGGAGCAAGTTAGCCATGGTGAGTTGGCCATGGCGAATTGTCACAGACCCGCTCTCACTGACCAGATTGACGGACTGAGCAGGAGGCGGGTGTTCTGACTTGGGCTTCCCAAAATCAGGAAGCAGGCTCCTCATCGCGACAAAACCCCTTTTATTTAGGCTAATGTGAATTCCTCTCATTCACATCCAGCAAAGGCCCGGCAAACAGTCTTTCAAGAGTGATTTACAATCTCTCCGCCGCTGGTAAAAAAAAGGCTTCTCCTGAATCGACCTGGGACTTTGCGGTATCCCTGGGATCCACAGGATGCGCCCTTCACTATCACCGTCTCTACGGGACGGTTTAGGTCCGTTTGGACCGACCGGGACAAAGATATCGGCTGCAATCTCCGAGCCCCGAGATTGCAAGCCGTATCGGCGTGACGCCAGCTCCGCCTGTAGCAGAAAATACTTGGCAAGGAGTCAGGAACAAACCTTCACCCTAATTAAATGAACTAATTGTCTCCTGCAAACCCCACTCCCCTTTTGCTCCTCTTTATTCCCTATGGGAGGGGCCATTCACCGTCCACCTGTGTCTTTACTCCCGAGCCGACCCTTGTTCCTTAACTATTCCCTTCTCCTGGCAGTTCTGCGCATGTGCACACTGGGAACAGGCTCCAGCTGTTCTTCTGCCCCACTGATCTCCGACCCCGAAGGCAGCTGATAACTGTCAGACGGCCCTGGCCCCATCTCTGCCTTCGACACAGAGCCTTCCCCAGACTCCAGGACTGGCCCATGTTCTTCCCCAACCTCCTCACTATCCGGCGCCAGTTCTGCTGGCCGCTGGCGGGCCACAACAGTGGGTTGGGACAGGGAGAGAGCCCCCGTGACAACCCCTGAGAGTCTTCCTGATTGAGGAGGCTGGATGGGCCGAAAGAGTGTCTTGCAAACAAGCGATGGAGGGAACAGACCTGTTTTCTCCACTTTGCCCTACTTAGCAAAGAGGCTCTTACCAGCAGTGGGGTCCCCCTGGGTTCCCTCCGCAGGGACCAGAGCTTCTTCCGGATCCAACCCAGACTGGGCCCTCTCTGCCGGCAAAGAGTTGGCCTGGAGGTGAAGGAAGCAAGTCGAATCAGACTCAACCCCCTCCCGTGGAAATTGGCACAAAGTACGGGTTGACCTGGGCCAGCCTCAAGGATGCAAATTCCGTGGAGCCGACGAGAGCCAAACCAGGTCAAAAGGACACCTGTGTTTAAATGTAGGTAAAGTCCAATTACGATACCAAACACATAATCTGGTGATCCCTGGGACTTAATGTTTTAATTGTAGAGAACATTACATTTCCAGGCCTCCTTTAAAAAAAAAAAAATGTTTGATGATGAAGGGCCCTGCCCAGTAAATTAAAACGGAGCAACCCCGGGGTCAAATCAGGGGCCTCCAAGAAGAAAGGCAAAACAGCCGAGGAGGAAGCCGCAAGGAGAGAGACGTATCCCACCCAGGAATTTTTAAAAACGGTTGTTTACTTCTGGAGCTTCGTTCTTGTCTGACCCAATCCTGCGTCCTGCCCCTGTGAAGGCTGGGAAAAGGCCGAAGTTGTGACTCGCCTCTGAAAAGGAAGAAAGGAGGGTCGGTTAGCAGAAGGCCAGGTCCTTCAAGGGCATCGTCCAGCCCTGGCCTGGCCTGGAAGGTATCCGGCTACGGCTTCAGAAATTCCCAGTCAGAAGCCAAGAGGCCGAGCGACCGGGATGCTGTGGGGGCAACGCTCCCGTTGTGGCTCAGGGGCTTCCATACGGCCTCCGCGTGAGCGTGCTGGTCCCTGAGGAGTAGGCTATATAGCCAGAGGCAGGTGATCTAGCACAGCGGCCCCCAGTCTTTCCAGCTTGGTGGGCCAGGGGGAAGGAATGGGGTCCAAATAGTGGGAAGCACCCACCAACCACACAAATGGAGATGAAGCCATGGGCACCCTTGCTGGCCACTTGCCTGGCCTGGTTCTGAACAGGCCACGGCCCAATTTTAGCAAAGGGTTCTCTGCCTGGTGGCTGGGTGGGCGTGGCCAGGGTAGGTGTGGCCTAGTCCGCCTCCTGCACCATGGCGGGGGGGGCGCATTTTCACCCTCCCCAGACTCCGGAGGCTTTCCTTGAGCCTTCGCGCGGGGGTGAAAACGGGCTCCTTGGGCTCCGGAGGGTCTTTTGGAGCTGGAATCGGGGCCATTTCCGGCCTTCCCGAATTTCCAGGAGGCCCGTTTTTCGCCCTCCAAGCCTCCGGGCGTGGCCTGCACTTACCTGCATCCAGAATGGTCTGCGTGGGGTGGGCGGGGCCAGCCAGGAATGGGATTTGGGGGCTAGAATTTTAGCTAGGGGCTCTCTTGAACCCCTGGTGGTTGGGGACCCCCAGTCTAGCAGCAGCAATTGCTGGGCTCCCTCGGGCCTTTCCCCTCCGGCCTTTCAGAGCAGCATCTGGGAGCAACGCCCCCTTTGCCCCCACAGGAGCACCAAATCCATGGGACTTATTTCACAGAGAGACCCTCTGCTGCTTCGGTCACCAGCGGTCCAAAGGGTTCTTCTCAACAAGCATGGATTTGACCCCCGAGCCCCCAAAGCCAAAATCCACCCCAAAGTGTCTCCCCGGTTGTGTCTTTTCAGCTTTGGCAGATGGGGAAACCGTGACCGTTTCTAGCAGGAGGGGGGCCGCTTCCCCTCCCACCTGCAGAGGAAGCCAAGTCTGCCGGTGACTCAAACTGAGAGCACCAAGGACCAAAACCCCGACGCAGCCGGGAGCCAATTTCTTGGTGACTAGTTACATTTCTGCCCAACGGAAACTGCCTGAAAAGCCACCGGGCCACCACTTTCCCTTGTGCAGAAGGCCCTGCCAAGCAGAAGAGGCCGCTGAAGCCGGCTGAAACTCCCGCTGCGGGGAAGAGGATGCGGGGAGGGGAAGGCCACCTGCCCTGCCTCCCCCTGGCTTTGTTTTGGCCTAGGGAAACAGGCTGCCCCACCTGGGGCTGAGGCTCCGGAGTCAGCACCCCACTGGCCCCATCTCGTCTGGCAGCTCTGCGCATACGCGCACTGGGAACAGGCTCCTGCTGCTCCTCTGCCTTGCTGCTACCAGACTCTGAAAGTTCCGGAGTCAGCACCCCACTCCCAGATGGCCCCATCTCTGTATCAGATTCAGGACCCTCGTCCGAGTCCTCTCCAGACTCCCGGACTGGTCCCCGTTCTTCCCCACTGTCCGATTCCACCTGCGCCGTCTGCACAGGCTGCCGGTATGCCATAACACCTTGAGACTTTCAACAAACAGGTGAACAGGACTAACAAGAGCATCCTAGAATTGGAAGATTCATTTAGGGTCAACCATCACTGGAGGTTTCAAGGAAAGATTGGACAGCCGTTTATCTCCCCAAACTTGGCAACTTCGAAGACTTATGGACTTCAACTCCCAGAATTCCTCAGTCAGCTGGCTGAGGAATTCTGGGAGTTGAAGTCCACAAGTCTTAAAGTTGCCAAGTTTGGGGACCTCTGGACTAGGACAATGGTCTCCAACCTTTCTGGGTTGGCGAGCTTGCGGAGGGGCATCGGGAGGGGGGAGAGGAGATGGCATTGCGCACGCATGTGCACATACTACTTTCACATGTGCTTGTCCACCGCTTCCGTGACCTGGTTCCAAACATGCTGCGGCCTGGCACTGGGCCGCGGACCGGATCTTGGGGATTGACTAGAAGACCTCCAAGGTCCCTTCCAACTCTGTTATTCTGTGATTCAAGGAGTCCAACCTGCTGCGAGAATCCATCGATCAAGACCTTCACGTTACTTATGCCACCTCTCTGGACAACGGAGTCCGTTGTTGAAGTTTTCTTTCTGGGAAGATGCAACTTCCAGCAAAACAGGTTTCCTGCTGTTATTCCCTGAGATGCCCCTCACCCTAACCCTCTCCCCCTCCCCCAGTCGAGGGCAAGTGATGGCGGTCTCTTCCGTCCCAGACATTCCTCGGGGATCCGTGCTGGGGAATAAATTCCCACAGCCTTGCCTCCCAGGATGCCAGACATTCTGGGACAAATTGCTCCGCACCCGTGCCAGAAAATTATTGGCGCTGATTTCTAAAAGCTGAAAAAACGCCTACCGTTTTTCATCACCACGTTTGACCAGACGTTGGCATTCAAGGCTTGGACGATTCGTTTCACTCCTGTGGATTCTGGAAAATCATCTAAAGGGGTGGGGGGAAGAATGAGGAGAGCGGAGTTGGAATACGACTTATTACAAAGGCTTCGTCAGAAACAGAATCGTGTTCATTTAATCACCCCACAATCCCTTGTAGGGCTGGTGCCAGGGCAACCGAATGGAGCAAGCAGAGTGTTGGAATGGCCAGATGCCCTCCCTGTTGCCAACGAGGAGTTTTGCTCAGCAGATAATATTCTCAGTGTGCCCAGAGAGAGAAATATCTGCTTCTGCCTCCTGAGGGTGAGGCGAGAGCTCCACCCCTAGGCCCCTGGACCGCTCTCCTCGTCAGAAACCAGAATGAGGATTCAGAAACTGAGAAGGATAAACAAGGCCTGGATACTGTCCTCTTAACAAGGTCGTTCTCAGTTCTTGATTTGAATTTAACGCCATCAAGAGAAGGAGTGTGATGACCCAGAGCGGGATACAAATCGAACACAGTCACAGAAAACAGGGGAAGCCCCTTTTATTCCTTCACTTTGCTTCCAAGCTCCAGATATTCTTGATGGAAGACAAAAAAAACTCCCGCACAAACAGTTACAAGAAGGGAAAAAGCAACACAAGCCAGGCGAGATAAGGGCTGGAGGACGTCCACAGATATCAGAACACACACGGGGAAGGATGGCAAACTCAGAGAGGAACCATAAACTAGAGATATTTCTATGCTTTGTTTCCAGCGTTCGCCCGTACGCAAGTCCGTCCTCTTATTCGTCACAGCTGCAGCCCATGAAGAGGATCAAGGCCCTCTCCTCCTAAGTAGATCACATGTCTCGCTTATCCTCTCTTCCTTGCGTGCCCTAGGATGGATAGGGGATGGGCCTGGGTCCTCCTCTGACTGCCCAGCCGGCCTCTGCCCTTCCCCAGCCTCCTCCACAACCTCTGGAGCCCCACTTCCACTCCCTGTCCGCTGTTCCTACCCAGATTGTTGAGGGAAAGAGGCTGATTCAGTAAACCGCTTAGAGGGCTGTAAAAGCACTGAGAAGCAGTATATAAGTCTAACTGCTATTGCCCTTTTTTTTTTTTCTCTCTCTCTCTCTCTCCCTTCCTTCCTTCCGTCTTAAGTTGAGGATGAAAATTACCAGCAAGGACTCAAGAGCCACTTTAGAGCCTCGCCTCGGGTGGATGACTCAAACGAAACTATCAAAATGACGATGCAACCAACGGAATAAAAGTGGTTATATCACCTTGAATGCCCGTTACACCATAAAAGTGTTGAATGAAGCCTTGGCCTATTTTAAAATGGCAAATTCTGATAAGAAATGACTAAGCAGGACAGGTTACTCTTTTGTTACAATCCTAAAAAATACCAACCAGCTTCGGGGGTGAAAGGTGTAAAACTAAAACAAAATGTCAGGATGTTTCTGAGCCTAAGGATGCATTTCTGGACTGGACCTAAGTTTATGACAAGCCATCTTATCTGTTTAAAACAGAGGTCTCCAAACTAGGCAACTTTAAGACTTGGGGACCCCTGGTTTAAATCCAAGATGGAAAAAAAATAAGATGTTGTTTACCACTAAGGTAGTCAGAGATTTCTTGACTAATCCCTCAAATATTTATCAGGAAATAGCTCAAGAAATACTGCAGCATTTTGCCACACCAATGCAATAAACAAAAAAAACCCCTCTTTCTTTACAGCCCTTGATGCCAAGAGACCAAACCCAGACTCCCCAGGGCACAGACAGCTACCCCAACTTTATGTGTTTATTTTCTTATTAAATTTACATACCGCCCACCTCACGGTCAAGTGACCCTGGGCGGCTTAAACATCATAAAAGCAGACGTACAAAACATTCAAACATTAAATATGAAAATTTGGCCTTCGAGCATTTTTTTCCTGTGAAAAAGCACCAATATAAATATTGTAAGCCACCCAGAGCTAGGGAGGTGGGTGGGTGGATGGATGGATGGATGGATATGTTGGCAGGATAGATAGATAGATAGATAGATAGATAGATAGATAGATAGATAGATAGATAGATAGATAGATAGATAGATAGATAGATAGATAGATAGAGAGGCAGGCAGGCAGGCAGGCAGGCAGGCAGGCAGGCAGAGACATGGATAGATGGATGGATGATAGCTAGATAACTAGATATAGATGATAGATAGATAGATAAGCCAGATAGATAACAGATAACCAGAGTTGGAAGGGACCTTGTAGGTCATCTAGTCCAACCCCCCCACCCAAGCGGGAGACCCTACACCATTTCTGACAGATGGCAGTCCAATCTCTTCTTGAAAGCTTCCAGGGATGAAGCTCCCACAACTTCCGAAGGCAACTTCTGTTCCGTGGGTTGATGGTTCTCACGGTCAGAAAGTTTCTCCTTATTTCCAGGTTAAATCTTTCCTTGTTCAGTTTCCATCCATGATTCCTTGTCTGGCCTACAGGTGCTTTAGAAAATAGCTTGACCCCTTCCTCTCTGTGGCAGATAGATGATATAGATCAATAGCAACAGCACTTAGACTTATATAACCATTTTACAGTGTTTTCCAGCCCTCTCTAAGCAGTTTACAGAGTCAGCCTCTTGCCCCTAACAATCTGGATCCTCATTTTACCCACCTCGGAAGGAGGGAAGGCTGAGTCAACCTTGAGCCTGGGGAGAGTTGATCTGCTAAATTGCAGTAGGAGGAGCTTGCACTACTGAGGCTCATATCAAATAGATAAGAGGATAGCTACAGATAGATGATATAGATTAGAGAGATACAGATGGGTAATGACAGACAAAGAGACAGAGAAGCAATTGAGAAAGATGCATCAGAACCGAAATCCGGATTTGCAAGGTTGCCCATATCCAGGAGCTCCTATAAGAGAAAGTGCTGTGACCACAATTTGCACAGAGGCGGTGTGGAGGATGCTAAGGAGCCAGAAAGGCAGCGTCTTGAAGGACCAAGCTCTGTGGTGCAACGGGAGCACCCCCACACCTCTCTCTAAGGAGACTGATGGGGGGTGGGGGCAGTGCATGAAAGCATTTCCGCCACCCTTCCAACATCTGGACCTCTGCCCAATCCTCACTCTCTCTTGCAAAGAAGATCTCCCCCGTTTTGGAAGTCAGAAAGAGCCACGTCAAGAAAAGCTCAACTCCTGAGCTAAATGCGGTGAATGGTATAGATGTGCATTTTAAAAAAAAGATCTGGAACGCATCCAGGGCTGGTTTTTCTTTTTCTTTTTTTAAAGCTGAGCTGGCGGCCACCGTATTGTGAGAAATTCTCTGCCTCTTTCTTAGGCACAGGGGAAAAAAAAAATTAAAGAATTGCAAACCACATCGTTGTGGCTGCCGGCTTGACTTTTGTCGACCACACCCTGGGGAGAACCCTGCATGCATCCCCAACCACCGTCTCCGATTGCCTGTGATGCAGCAACCCCAGCTCATTCAGCGTGGGGGGAGAAGACGCCGGGCATTTTTCTGGCAGGGGTGAAACTTGCCAATGAGCCGCAAAGAAACCAAACCGCTTGAAAGTCACCGCGGGCAGGAGGCAAAGGCCAAATCTCACCGTCCTCATCCGGAAGCTCCTCTGGGTTGAGCTCCACCAACTCAAAGCCGTGTTTGATGCACCACTCTTGGGCCTTCTGCCGGCTGATGCCTACAAGGAAGAGAGGAAAGGCGTGGGTTTCCCCACCGCTCCCCCCCCCCAGGAAGGGCTCCCACCGCTCTGGGTACCGGCAGGAGGAAACTCCCTGGAGGGGATGCACGGCTGAAAACGCTTGGAAGATTCTGGGGAAGGGCTGCAGGTGAGCCATCTGTCCAGAGTGGGCCTTTCCAAGCCAGACTGCTCCCTCTGTTGCTTCTGCCAAGCTTCCCGCTCTAACCGAGTTTGTCCTTGTCGCCTTACCATTTTCAGAGACTCTGTCACAGACCAAGATCATCACTTCCGGTAGCCAGTCTTCTATCAGAGGAAGCCACTGAGAGACAGCATCCAGCCCTGATATCTGTAAAAGGAGATATGGATAGCTGGCTTTATGGAGTATTACAAGCAAAAAAAGCATATTCGGTTCTACACAAATCTTTATCAAAAGGAAATCTTAGAAAGCAGAAAAGTTTCAAGGGAGATCGGCCACCTTAAAATTTGGGTCCAAAAAAATGACCCAAGATGCCTGTGGGCTGAGAGGGGACTAGAACCTGGTGCAATGACCCAGTTGGAAGCTGGTTTGGAGAACAGGAGGAATTGGAACTTCACTTAAAATCTGCAAATTTGACATCTAATGGGCAACCATCAACTATTAGGACTCTTAAACCCTCTTAATCAACCAAGGAATTTTTTGTTTTGCTCCTATACTTTTCTCTGCAACAAGGTTACGGGGTAGGTAGGTTGGATTGAGGGAGTCTGACCCAAAGTGACCCAAGGGGTGTTTGTGGTTGAGAGGGGACCAGAATTTGGGCCTTCTTGCTCCTAGTCCAAGCCCCGAACCACCATACCACCCACCCTCTTCACATCACCCAGGCCAAATTAGTGGTAACCAGCGGAAGTTCTACCATCAATAACCTCCTACCAATCTCAATAAATTCTCAGAAAGCCTAGAAGAATATCACGTATTCTTATGCGTTATCTTTTCACATAAAACCAGAATTTCTCAATCTCAGCAACTTTCAGAGGTCTGGATTTCGGCTTCCAGAATTTTCCCACCCCGCAAAACAGTTGAAATCAACTCTCCAAACCCTGGGAAGGAATTGATTTGAAAGTGGAGGGGTAGAGTAGAATTGTAATAGGTTCATCAGCTCCACAAACGTCACAGGTCATAGATGGAAGAAAACCACCCTAGTTTCTGAACCAGAATGTCCACCGGGCCGGGGGGGTGGGGTGGGGGGGTTGGACTGGATCCCTTCCAATTCTGCTAGGCTAAGCTGCACCACCCTACATCCCGAACGGCAGGGCAACACTCACTGTGGTGCTGTCGAAGCAGATGAGGAAAGCCTGAATGGACTCGGCAATTTCCGAAGTCACCTGAAATACATTTGCCACCACGCAGAGATGGACGGCAGCGGAGTAATATTTATTGTCTATCGTCCAGGGGTAAAACCGGGCTCCGCTCTCCGCGGCAATGTGCTCAGGAAGCTCTTCCTCACCGGTGATACCTGCAAGAGACAACAAAGAGACTGTCGTGGTTCACTGGCAGACAGTACAGGCAGCAGTGGAATTGGATAGAACAGGGACCAGTCCGGGAGTCTGGGGAGGACTCAGATGAGGGTCCTCCATCTGATACAGAGATGGGGCCGGGGCCATCTGGGAGTGGGGTGCTGACTCCGGAGCCTCCGGAGTCTGGCAGCAGTGAGGCAGAGGAGCAGCGGGAGCCTGTTCCCAGTGCACGTATGCGCAGAGCTGCCAGAAGGCAAGAGCAGCTGAAACAAAAGGGGCAACTGGGGAGTTAGGCTAGGAGGCGATTGCCCCTCCCATAAGGTATAAAGGACAGGCAAAGATGACGAAACCTGTGCAGGAAGCAAAGTCATTCGTTCGGTTCAGATTTATTATTGAAGCTCTTTGTACTTCGGTTGGTTTTTTCTAGTTCAATTGACCCTTCTGTTATTGGCAGCACTTCACAGAAAAGAAAGGTGGGTGCTTATCTCAGGGGACGGTTTGAGATTCATTACCGGGGGGTGGGTGAGTGGGGAATCCCCCGTCCTGCTTTCAGGTTGATCCTTGAAACGCTACATGGGCTGGGCAGAATTGTGGTGGGTCTTCACCTCCACCCTCCCTTCACAATATGCTGTTCCTACTTTCATCTACTTTTACCAGCTGCCCATGAGAAAACTTGACCCAGCTGGCTAAGCAGTTAGTATAAATAGGCTTCCCCTCGCAACCCACACGAGGGTGTAAAAATACACCCGTTAGGTCATCCAGAATCTTGGAACCATTTTGCTCGGATGACCGGCCTTTAGGAAATCCCCCACAGAGGCTGGGCACCCTCTTCCTACAACCCTCGCCCAGCCCTCGCATGATAATGACAGCTTTCCATATCTGGATTCGGAGAAGGTACTCATTTTCGGAGCTGGCGTTCCAGCCCCCCCACCCCCAAAAGCCCTGTCCCCAAACCCGCCCTAACGACGAAAATAGTGGGCTGGGAAACTGTCATGTCGTGGGAGAACGGCTCACTTTAATTCAGGGTACCCCAAATTTGGCAACTTTTAAAACTTTGGGGACTTCAACTTCTTGAATTTTGGGAGCTGAAGTCCACAAGACTTAAAGTTGCCAAGTTTGGAGACCTCTGCTTTAATTTGTGATATTTCCAACTCTTGGGTAGGCCTGCAGTTTCGCATACACAAAGTTCAAAGTTTGGGAGGGGGCAGAGAAAAAGAGAGGAAGGGGAAGAGGAGAGGAGTGGAGAGGAGAGGAGAGGAGAGGAGAGGAGAGGAAAGGAAAGGAAAGGAAAGGAAAGGAAAGGAAAGGAAAGGAAAG